CTTACTGTTAACACACCAGTGTCTTACTGTTGACAACCTACTTCCTACTGTTGAAAACGTATCTCACTGTTACCTTGGACACACTGCCAAGTCAATTGAGTAATTGTTTAATAGTGAAGTGACAAAGATTCTAATCATGCATAGACAATTAATCCACTTATGATCAACCACATTTTTAAAAGGAATGTTTGGTAAAAATCCTAAACAAAAAAACATTCTGTGATCAAGATGTTTTAAAAAAAAAATGATCTGACATAATAAAATGTTAAATAGCAACACAACTAATTTGATGTTCCACATATAATAGACAGTAACATACATAACAGGTAGATTTTACAACCATGGTTCTCTCTCATCATCAAACAAAACCTCAAACATCAATATCTATCATCATGTCATCACTCCACAATGCCCAGTCTAGGTCAGTTGTACTGGGTTGTCCTTACTCCACAATACCTAGTCTAGGTCAGTTGTACTAGGTTGTCCTTACTCCACAATACCTAGTCTAGGTCAGTTGTACTGGGTTGTCCTTACTCCACAATACCTAGTCTAGGTCAGTTGTACTAGGTTGTCCTTACTCCACAATGCCCAGTCTAGGTCAGTTGTACTGGGTTGTCATCACTCCACAATGCCCAGTCTAGGTCAGTTGTACTGGGTTGTCATCACTCCACAATGTCTAACCTAGGTCAGTTGTACTGGGTTGTCATCACTCTACAATGTCTAACCTAGGTCAGTTGTACTGGGTTGTCATCACTCTACAATGTCTAACCTAGGTCAGTTGTACTGGGTTGTCATCACTCTACAACGTCTAACCTAGGTCAGTTGTACTGGGTTGTCCTTACTCCACAATGCCCAGTCTAGGTCAGTTGTACTGGGTTGTCATCACTCCACAATGCCCAGTCTAGGTCAGTTGTACTTGGTTGTCATCACTCCACAATGCCCAGTCTAGGTCAGTTGTACTGGGTTGTCCTCACTCCACAATACCCAGTCTTGGTCAGTTGTACTGGGTTGTCCTCACTTCACAATACCTAGTCTAGATCAGTTGTACTGGGTTGTCCTCACTTCACAATACCTAGTCTAGGTCAGTTGTACTTGGTTGTCCTCACTCCACAATACATAGTCTTGGTCAGTTGTACTGGGTTGTCCTCACTTCACAATACCTAGTCTTGGTCAGTTGTACTGGGTTGTCCTCACTTCACAATACCCAGTCTTGGTCAGTTGTACTGGGTTGTCCTCACTTCACAATACCTAGTCTAGGTCAGTTGTACTGGGTTGTCCTCACTTCACAATACCTAGTCTAGGTCAGTTGTACTGGGTTGTCCTCACTTCACAATACCCAGTTTAGGTCAGTTGTACTGGGTTGTCATTACTCAACAAAATCTAACCTAGGTCAGATGTACTGGGTTGTCATCACTCTACAAAGTCTAACCTAGGTCAGTTGTACTGGGTTGTCCTCACTCAACAAAGTCTAACCTAGGTCAGTTGTACTGGGTTGTCATCAGTCTACAAAGTCTAACCTAGGTCAGTTGTACTGGGTTGTCATCACTCTACAATGTCTAACCTAGGTCAGTTGTACTGGGTTGTCATCACTCTACAATGTCTAACCTAGGTCAGTTGTACTGGGTTGTCCTCACTCAACAAAATCTAACCTAGGTCAGTTGTACTGGGTTGTCATCACTCTACAACGTCTAACCTAGGTCAGTTGCACTGGGTTGTAAAGATTAACTTTTATTGGCTTATAATGATGTCACTAAATGTCGCTAAACATGACTGATGGTTTGATCAGTTAACTTGGACAATGAACCAGTTATACTGGAAGACTTTAAGTTGATGGAACAAGTTATAAAATGATGACTTCAAACCTTGACTTGATGATGAATCAGTTCAAAAAATGAACCAACTTCATTGACTAATTAATGACTGTGAACTATGCTCAATGTCTCTTGATTCCAGACTGAACTCAACGAGAAATGACCCTGAGCTATGCTCAACAACAACAACTGACTCTTAACCAAACTCAACAACAAATAATTATGAACTAAACTCAACGTCGAATGACTCTGGACCAAATTCAAAGACTGATGACTGAGCTATGCTCAATGACCCTTGATATGAACCAAACTCAACAACAAATGATTCTGAACCAAACTAAACGACTAATGACATTGTACCAGGCTCTATGATTATTGAGACTGATTAGCAGATATATAGAAACAGACTAATAAGGTAAGGCTTTGGTGATAGAGAACAAAGTCTAAGGTAATCAAGGCTCTACAGTGCTGTCATTGGTTAAGACACTAATTGTAACATGAATCTATACACTATACTGGTGTACAGTTAAAATCATCACTACACAACAGAACAGTGTAGAATACATCCTTATGGTGTACAGTCAACACCATCACTACATAACAGAACAGTGTAGAATACATCCTTATGGTGTACAGTTAACACCATCACTACACAACAGAACAGTGTAGAATACATCCTTATGGTGTACAGTTAAAATCATCACTACACAACAGAACAGTGTAGAATACATCCTTATGGTGTACAGTCAACACCATCACTACACAACAGAACAGTGTAGAATAATCCTTATGGTGTACAGTCAACACCATCACTACATAACAGAACAGTGTAGAATACATCCTTATGGTGTACAGTTAACACCATCACTACACAACAGAACAGTGTAGAATAATCCTTATGGTGTACAGTCAACACCATCACTACACAACAGAACAGTGTAGAATAATCCTTATGGTGTACAGTCAACACATCACTACACAACAGAACAGTGTAGAATACATCCTTATGGTGTACAGTCAACACCATCACTACACAACAGAACAGTGTAGAATACATCCTTATGGTGTACAGTCAACACCATCACTACACAACAGAACCATGTAGAATAATCCTTATGGTGTACAGTTAACACCATCACTACACAACAGAACCATGTAGAATAATCCTTATGGTGTACAGTCAACACCATCACTACACAACAGAACAGTGTAGAATACATCCTTATGGTGTACAGTCAACACCATCACTACACAACAGAACAGTGTAGAATACATCCTTATGGTGTACAGTTAACACCATCACTACACAACAGAACCATGTAGAATAATCCTTGTATACATTTAAAACCATCACTTCACAACAGAACAGTGTAGAATACATCCTTATGGTGTACTGTCAACACCATCACAACAGAACAGTGTAGAATACATCCTTATGGTGTACTGTCAACACCATCACTACACAACAGAACAGTGTAGAATACATCCTTATGGTGTACTGTCAACACCATCACTACACAACAGAACAGTGTAGAATACATCCTTATGGTGTACTGTCAACACCATCACTACACAACAGAACAGTGTAGAATACATCCTTATGGTGTACAGTTAACACCATCACTACACAACAGAACCATGTAGAATAATCCTTGTATACATTTAAAACCATCACTTCACAACAGAACCATGTAGAATAATCCTTGTATACATTTAAAACCATCACTTCACAACAGAACAGCATAGAACACATCAATCTGGTGTATCATCAACACCATCACTACACACCAGAAACATGTAGAATACACCTTTCTTGTGTACAGTTAACACCATCACTACACAACGGAAACATGTAGAATACACCCTTCTTGTGTACAGTTAACACCATCACTACACAACGGAAACATGTAGAATACACCCTTCTTGTGTACAGTTAACACCATCACTACACAACGGAAACATGTAGAATACACCCTTCTTGTGTACAGTTAACACCATCACTACACAACGGAAACATGTAGAATACACCCTTCTTGTGTACAGTTAACACCATCACTACACAACGGAAACATGTAGAATACACCCTTCTTGTGTACAGTTAACACCATCACTACACACCAGAAACATGTAGAATACACCCTTCTTGTGTACAGTTAACACCATCACTACACAACGAAAAACATGTAGAATACACCCTTCTTGTGTACAGTTAACACCATCACTACACACCAGAAACATGTAGAATACACCCTTCTTGTGTACAGTTAAAACCATCACTACACAACGGAAACATGTAGAATACACCCTTCTTGTGTACAGTTAAAACCATCACTACACCATAAAACCAAGTAGAATACATCCACCTGGTGTATGTACATATATAATAAATTCACAGGGTCTATTTCTTGAGATAAAGTCTGTTAACCCTGTAAATAATGTCTATAAGAAATTTTTTTGCTGTCCAATCCAATCTGATATGTATCATCTATAAAATGTATGTGACACCATATCCTAAATAGTATGAAGACTAGGAAATATCTTCTAAAGTCATCGACTTCCAATATCATTAGATCTAATCAGTTTGGCAAAAATGTATTGAAACATGGTTATTTAAAAAAAAATGTAACAAACAGGAAGATAAATGTCCTTATTACAAGGTCATGTTGGATGTTGGTCAATATTGAATATATTATAGGTAACAATCAAATCTTCCATGTCATAGGAAACAATGCATTGTAATTTCATTTCAACAAACAGCACTTCTCAAACAACATCATTTGTAATATAAAATCTGACACAAAAATTATGCAGCTATACACTGTACAATACAGTGTTAAATATCAACATATAAACTTTTATATAGGCTTAAGTTTTCACATAGGTGAATTATACAGCGTGCAGTTTGGTACAAATATTACGACATCACTGTGTTCATCACTCACATTAAATGTAAAAAAAAACCATTAAAATCATTTTCAAATTACCACCTTTCAAAAAAAACAAAAAAACAAACAGGAATAATTCGCAGGAACTATACCAATTTCTGAAGTATGCTGAATTCCTCTCAATTTAATGTTACTGACACAAAGCACATGTGATTTTCCAGTTATCATGTCCCTATCACAATTTAAGATAGCATCCTCTTGGAATGAAAAGAAGCAACTTTTGGAATGATTCAAAACAAACTGATCAAGCATAACACTCATCTTCAGTTGATTCAGATCTGAGGTTAATACAGGGCTGCTGTCGAACATGTGACCTTGAACCTGAGCTATTAGAAGTGGTGACGGACACATGCATGTTTGGTATACTTTGTGGCAAGTTACGATTTCTTTGTTCAGAAACAGGAGGCATTTCTCTGGTAGGCGACTCACAGAATGCAGCATTAACACAGCCTGACGAAGTGTTAAACTCCTCCATCCCAACTAGGGTGTTACTGTCACCACAGAGTGCCTCTCGTGAACCAGGGTTCTCTTCAAACATCTGCCTAGACACTGGTTCCCTTGGAGACCAGGAATTCCGATTGGCCCTGTCCCGCTTTCCTGACTGAACATGATCCAGATCGCTGTCAAACAGGAATGGACGCAGTGCCTGAGAGCCTGCTACCTGGGAGATGTTTTCCAATGATTTGGCATACTGCCTATGTTTGGGCTGGATATTTCCAGACATGGCAGTAGCCTCCTGAATCACTCCTGCACTGCTGAAGTTACTGAGTGACTGGAAGCCTGGCCTAGAGAGGGAGGGGGGATCTGCTATGTTGGGCATGCTGGTATGATACTGACTGGGCCTCCCACCTGATTGTTCCCCAACATGAAGGGCCTGTACTGGACACGTCGCATCCCCTGGCTGTGGCCTTGTTTGCTTTTGAACATCTGACAATTTTAATTCTTTACCATTGTCAATATGGCTTGTTTGTACCTTTGCAGGTGAAGTTCTATTTTTATTATGATCATCACGCTTTGGTTTAGTCTGTGCTTTATTTAGTGGTTTATGAGATGAAGATGCTGAAGACTTAAATAAGTTTCGTCTAACATCATCACGTCTAACTGTCTGTCTGTCCCGAGGATGATCTTGAAAATGATGTTCTGCTCCTCTTTCTGTTAACAAGCTTTGTTGATGTCTGTTTGTTTGTCTGTTCCGATGAACTCTATCAGCCTGCCTCTCTGTTGATGTAGCATGACGTCTGTCTGTCCATCGTCTAGCTGATAAGTCTAACCCATGCTGTTCACTACGCCTCTCGGTAGACCGACCTTGATGAGAGTCTGTTTGTCTTTCTGTCTGGTTGTCCTTGTGATGTCTTTCTGTCTGGTTGTCCTTTTGATGTCTTTCTGTCTGGTTGTCCTTGTGATGTCTGTTTGTGTCCTGAGATGGGCCCTCTGCTTCGGGTATCAATCGCTGTCTGATAGGTAACTCTGATAGCCCCTCCTGCTCCTGTTGGATAGGAACCCTCCCATCTCTGCTCCTTGAAGGCAGATCTGTGGTCTCAGTTTCTGTGCCAGCATATCTTACTTGCCTTGGAGTAAGAGAATTCTCAAATGAAGACTCAGAACTGTAAGAAGTGCTGTAAGAGTGTGTGGCGCGAACCCTTGGAATAGGGGACGCATCTGAGCTATCATCAGTCAGGTGATGAATATGAGGTCCATCCCACTGCTCAGACTCACTGGAGTCAGAGGATGTGTTGGAGTTGTGACGACATTCTGTCGAGGACACAGCTTCCACTCCTTCAAAACATGTAGGAATGGCAGGTCCCATGGGAGCATTTACAGATTCCGAATATGGTGGAGGTTTTGGAAGCATCCAGTGACCTGGGCCAGGTGGGTCTAAACTCTGTAACATGGGAAGAGTTATAAATCAGACTTTAAAAGTCCAGCAACATGTTTACAAACTACAAACAATGTTTCTAATGGGATTTATATGAATTTTTTATTTTGGAAATTCTTCTACTGTGGTAATTTCCACTTGAGCTTAATTTCATGACAACAGACAATAAGTACACATACCTTCACATATCTAGTGTATTTACATCAACTTTTCTACCAATCCAAACCACACAGCTTTGGCCTGATAGTGCATACTAAAATTTGAGTGATGAGTCCGATGGACAAAAATGGAGTTACAAAGTTTTCTCTAAACCTCCTTGTATATAGGACCTGTTTGTATACAGGACTACTACAGTGAGGACAGAGAGTCTGCCAGACAGAAGTGAAATGCTTTTGCTACTCATAGTGGGGATTATACTAACACTACATTGAACAATTGATGCATAAACTACTTCTCACAAAACAAGAGGCCTAGTGGCTTTGATGGTCACCTGAGGTAAGTAATATCTGGGTGTTGAGAAGAAGATTTCGAAATATGAGTCATTTTGACTGCTTAAGACCCATGAGGGGGTTGGGACCACATAATTCAATATTTGGGTTTATATTTGGCTAGGGAAGATTTCTGCCAAAATTTCAATGAAATCGATTCTGGGGTTTTTGAGAAGAAGGTGAAAATGTTAAAAGTTTAGGGACATACGACGCTGGATAAAAGGCTATCACAATAGGTCACCATGAGGCTTTGTCTCAGATGACCTATAAAACCTGGTTACTTCCTTAACCTAGATAATTTAGTTAGTTTAGTCCTAACTGCTGACCTTGATTATGCCACAAAACTTAAAGAACACTTGATTTAGTTACAATCAATCTTTGTCTGATTTATAACTTAAACACTAAATGCTTTTTTTTATTTTTGTCTCCACAAAAAAAATAAATATACAAATAAATGTTGAAACTACATCTGTTTTTGACACAAGGTTTTCCTCCACAATAGCCAAGAAAAAAAAAAGCTTCAGGATGTTATGTTTGTTTTATATATCAAAAGCATACTAAGATCAATTTGACCTAGCAATGATTTCTACTTCCCAAAACAATAGAAATATAGTTGTTGGTGTGAGCCACTTACAATGTCCGGGTACATAGGTGGGGAACGTATCGCCTCCTCATATGCTGGGGGCAGGTCCTCTCCAATTACCCCCCGGTGTCGCCGCCGTCTCCGACCTTTCAATGAAACACAACCCATAAAAATTCACAAACTTGAAAAGCAAACACACTTTCATTTCTTTCCCTTGGATGACCAGACTCAAATATTCACATTTTTTACATGTTTTTTTTTTTTGTGTAGTTTCTGCTTGAAGAATCTGATCTGGTCATATTTGGTTATATTATAAAATTATTGTCTATCATGAAGTACACATTGATAAAGAGTTGGAGACATCTTACAATTTAAAAAAAAAGAGAATCTCATTCATTGTCTGGGTTGATTTATCAGGTCACATATCTCCGATACATTTTCTATGACAATAACTTATAATCAGTATTTTATTTCCTTCATTTCCTTTATTGGGTCATGATATTTTTTTAAACATGTTTGGTGTTGGTATCATGAATGAGGATGAAATAGGTTGGCAATTTAATGTAAGCAACAGATAATCAATAAAAGTTAATTAACTGGAATGTTTTGTGTATGATGGAGAAATGAATGCTTCAAAAGTTTTTTTTTTTCTGATCAGACCTCCCTGACCTCTTGGATTATGTCTTTTGTGACTAGGTTATTAATTCAGAGGAAACCATGTTACCAGTAAACTTCTGAAATATAGAGAGTATAAACTTACGTCCATGTGGGTGGGACAGATCTTCACTGATGGATGGAAGTCCCTCTGTGGCACGGCGGATCACTTCTCTCTGTGCACGGCGGTACCGCCTGACCAGCAGGAACAGTACAAACAATATAATGATGAGGAAGACAGAGATGACCACTGGAATGACCACACTGAAAGCCAGTGTCTGCTGATTGCTTTTCTGCCATGGGGACCCACTTCCTGTAACACAACATGGGGAATAACTCTATAAGCAATGAGGCATTAAGAAACATGAAGATATCCCAAGATCAGAGGGATCGTGGTAATCATCATTGTTCTATCTATGTTTTTTAAAAGTTGAATCATTTTTCTATTTTTCTCTTCTTTTTTTTCAGTTCTTATATCTAGATTACTTCAGAATTTAAAATGCCTCTTCTGAAATAATCTTTAATTGTTAAAATCCAAGATGATTGCCTTTCAGATATTTTTTTTCATTCTAATATGCCCAAAATTTTGGGATTATGGGGAATCTACATCTATATGAAATCTGAGAAAGATTCATCCAGTATTTCTCAAGAAATAGTGTTAACAGCTCTGTACTGATATCATCAATCTAACTATAGAGCTGCCTACATTATGTATCATATCATACAGTTACCTGAACACCCATATTGTTCATCCGAGTTGTCTCCACAGTGATCTATACCATCACATTTGTACGTTGAAGAAATGCAATAGCCATTGTTACAGCGCCATAGATTATTAGTGCCGCTACACACTACAAGTAAAAATCATTCTTCAGATATATTTCATGTATCTACCAACAGCTATCTAAACAAGTAATAAAAGTTTCATTCCCTGAAATCATTCTTAAAAGCCATTGCTGAACATTAGGAAAATCCTGATCTACAGTGCTGGAATAATGATTCAAATACTGTGGTGCAGAACAGTACAGTGTGGCATCAACTCTTGTATTCAAGTAGGAGACAGGTCAATCTCAAAGCCTGAGTGAAAAGGTCAATGGGAAAGATGAAAAATTCTTTACCAACAAAGGGCAATAACTACAAATGTAAATACAAATTAAGCATGAAAACATGTCAAAATAATAAAGGTGGCTTACAAAACCGTGATGCACAATTTGGAATTTCTCTTCCCTCAAAGCTATAACCCAGATACAAGGGATAACCAGTATGCAGTTTTAAGAAAACCTTTCATAACAATATAGCCAAACAGTTCCCTCTAAGACATGCCCCCCAGCCCCGTGAGGGGGTTAGCTCCATTATTTGTACAATTCTGAATCCTCATCATTTTGGGAAGCTAGCAGTCAGTCCAGCATGAGCAATATCCATTCCGTATATCAGGAGAAGAATCTGTTTTAACTAATTATCACTCTTTTTGGCTTTGCCCCTCAGTCCCGAGGGAGATCAGCCCTTCCATTTGTACAATTTTGAATTCCCACCTCTCCAGAAAGCTTACAACCCAGATGAGTGATATCTCAAGTCAACAGTTCTAGCGAAGAAGTCGTTTAGAGAAAATACAGCCAAATTCCCATTTTTTTTGCCTTTTTGTACATTTTATAATCAACACCTGAGGGCGCTTTCCCTCAAATTAGATTGAAATCCAATTGGTGGTTCAGAAAAGAAGATTACAGATCATGACACATTGTCTCCTCTTCAGAACATTATTCTAATTTCAAAGAAATGGGATCCAAATCTGGGAGATGTATGTCCAATCAAACTTTTGACAGGTTAAAAACAAGCTTGACAAGAATGCATCAACTTTCAACTTACACTTTTCCATGTTTAGAGAAACAAAGGAAAGTTGTACTTTATCCAGCCGTCCAAACTTTCCAAACAAGTGAATATAGAAACCTTCAGCGTGCTTGTACTGCCACTTGGTAATGGATTCCCCACTACGGATACGCGCCATGAACGTGCCCTTAGAGGACAAGCCACCATAAATCTCTATATAATCATCATAACCTGGAACAAAAATAAATGGTCAAAGAGTGCAAGGATTTGATAGTTCTTTTAAACATTAACACTGCATAAAAGTCAAAATTCAGAGTAACTTTTTTATAGAAGTTTAAAACTTGGAAAACTCAGGCAGTGGAAATTGCAATGTATTTAACTTTTATCACTGCAGTCCCTTTTTTAAATATTGATTTCTGACAATAATTTTGATATACGGACACCTTACCAGAGGATCAGAAGGAGATGAGGTTAAGCAGGGTGGCAGTATACCCTGATGTTGAAAACCCATACACATCTGTGGTACTTACCAGAGGATCCAATGGAGAATGCGAGGAGGTTAAGCAGGGTGTCAGTATACCCAGATGCAGTACGGACCACCCATACACAGTCATAGTACTTATAATTGATAGTAGTAGACGTGTCCAGTGAAAGTTTTCCTCCACCGCTGAATCTATACTCTCCACAATCTGAAATAAAAAAATACACTTCTGCAATGTTTAAGAACAATGATTTTTAACACACTCAATTTTACTCAGATTCCATGTATTCATCATCATTTTCAATAATGAATCCTATCCCTAGCAACTAAGTCATATTTTTTTTTACTAAGTTTGAATAAATTATTTTCCCAGTCTATTTATCTACTCTCCATAAAAGTCTAAAATAATGTTTCATTGGCATTTTTCTGAACTTATGTGATAAGTAATGCAGTTTCAACTGAGAAAGACCATGCAAGTTCTATTAACATTGTGTGCAACATCAAAATTTCCTTAAGTCTACATTTGCTCAGGCAAATGAAATATATTTTCCTCATCGGTCTGCAGCAGCACTTATACATCCTCATAATACAAAACAGCTGCTGAATGCTTTAATTATTTATTTAGCAAATATATACTGTTTTTAACAACAGTTTATTTGTTCGGTTTATTGTTCCATGAACAGCCAGGGTCATTTTGAGGCAGTCTTCTTGTTATAGCTGGTGGCTACCTCACTGAATGACATACAGAAGGCCGGTCACATGCAATCCAGAGCAATAAGGTGTAAAGTGTCTTGCCCAAGACACAACCATGTCAGCACAGGCCGTTCGACCCTCAGCTTTCTGAGAAACACAAACTGCCATGCGTAAGAAGCATTGAAGCATGCCTCTCAGACCTTCACTGGAGAGTAATGTAGATCAATGCTCCTAACTGACTATCAACAGGCAATGTCTAGAGATAGAAAGAGTCGTGTAGACTAAAAACCATTAACCAAACAACCAACAAACTCTGTCTCTATTCAAATTGATATCTGAAATGAAAGAGCAGTCTGATGTCACCAGTATCGTATGGAAATACTTACTTGTTGATGGAACAGGTTTATATTCTACATCAGCTGAAAAGTCAACAAGCAAGCACTTAAGAATTTTTAAGAAATTGAATTTGTTTTCTCTTTCATGGTTAATGTTTCTTTTATTGTCTAATTTCTATAAAGTATATCAGACAAATATTAAACAATACATAATGTTCCAAAGGTTTCAATTATAAATGAATTATGTTCACAATTGATAAATTCCACCTGAATTTGACACAAAATATTGAAAATGTCATTCCTTACAACCTGAGTCATTCTAATATTAATCAAATTTAACATAACCTTAGTCATTTGAATTTTAACCAACACGAAATATAATTGACAAAGCCATTTCTTATAACCTAGGCCATTTGAATTCTTTTTTGTCATAGTTTAGTTTCACTGAACAAGGACGGTTAAAACTCTATATCTACTTACAGTTGATATACTTATATCTGACTCTGAAGCCCATATTAGACCTCAGCACTCCATGTTGATACTCATATCCAGTGTCAAACACAATTTTAACTCTATGTGAATCTGCCATGATTACTGGTCGATCATCAATATATCTGTACAAGGCCTCTGAATTTCCCCACTCAACCTGTGGTAGACAGAATGCTAGCTATGTATTGAACATAATTACAATATCATAAAACCATGGCCTGTCAAATCATAAAACATGCATTATTTATCAGTTTATATATTCATACCTATCAGATAAAGTAAGTCTTGACAAAGATCTGAAACTTGGAATAGCCTAAGAGGATAACTCTGTCAGTGAGATATGTATCATAATATTTATAGTACAAACACTCCTCTGTTAGGGGAAGCTCAAGTTCTCTTTGGTTCCTCAATATACACACTATGTCAGACAGTGTGATATATGTCTAGTGTTGGAGTCAAATGAAACCTTGGCTATGGTAGGAGATATCAGAGTGTATTTAAGGGTAAATACATACAAACACTCCACTAGTGGGTGATATATCCCAGTCTGTAAAGATGAGGTAGACAAAGTCGTTATGATTGATACTCTCAATGATGTAGCTGTAATATTCGGAGTTCAATGAGTAGAGGTCCGGGAAGAATGGTGAAGATATTTCCCCTGATGTAGACATATCACTTGCCCCTCCATAGTGTTCTTCTTTAGCTAGAAGAAATAATAAAACAGAAATATAGTTCACATGTTTCTACACAATCAGATAATAATTCACAAACTGATGGAAATTTGTTAATTACAGCAGTTTAAGATATTTATAAAGCTAAAATTACAATTCAAATGTTATCATATTGCAGAGTTGTATACTCACCATATATGGTGAAGCTGTATACTAAACCTGTATGGTATAGTAAAGCTGTATACTCACCTTATATATTAAAGCTGTATACTCACCTTATATAGTGCAGCTGTATACTCACCTGGTTTTGTATAGTTCAGCTGTATACTCACCTTGTTTTGTATAATTCAGTTGTATACTCATCTTTTTTGGTATAGCCCAGCTGTATACTCACCTTGTTTGGTATAGTTCAGCTGTATACTCACCTTGTATGGAATAGTGCTGCTGTATACTCACCTTGTTTGGTATAGTTCAGCTGTATACTCACCTTGTATGGTATAGTGCAGCTGTATACTCACCTTGTATGTTATAGTGCAGCTGTATACTCACCTTGTATGGTATAGTTCAGCTGTATACTCACCTTGTTTGGTATAATGCAGCTGTATACTCACCTTGTTTGGTATAATGCAGCTGTATACTCACCTTGTTTGGTATAGTTCAGCTGTATACTCACCTTGTTTGGTATAATGCAGCTGTATACTCACCTTGTTTGGTATAATGCAGCTGTATACTCACTTTGTTTGGTATAGTTCAGCTGTATACTCACCTTGTTTGGTATAATGCAGCTGTATACTCACCTTGTTTGGTATAGTTCAGCTGTATACTCACCTTGTTTGGTATAATGCAGCTGTATACTCACCTTGTTTGGTATAATGCAGCTGTATACTCACTTTGTTTGGTATAGTTCAGCTGTATACTCACCTTGTTTGGTATAATGCAGCTGTATACTCACCTTGTTTGGTATAGTTCATCTGTATACTCACCTTGTTTGGTATAATGCAGCTGTATACTCACCTTGTTTGGTATAGTTCAGCTGTATACTCACCTTGTTTGGTATAGTGGGTAAGTATACACACCTTGTTTGGTATAGTTCAGCTGTATACTCACCTTGTTTGGTATAATGCAGCTGTATACTCACCTTGTTTGGTATAATGCAGCTGTATACTCACCTTGTTTGGTATAGTGGGTAAGTATACACACCTTGTATGGTATAGTGCAGCTGTATACTCACCTTGTATGGAATAGTGCAGCTGTATACTCACCTTGTATGGAATAGTGCAGCTGTATAGTCCTGTTGAGGGGTACACTGCCATGACAGAATCCTATAAATACGACACTTGACTCTGACACAAAGGGTAGATTCCAACTGGTGCTGGAACTATCCTTATAAAAGCTCATTGTCTGATTTTTGTAAAACTGGTCAAAAATATACAGGTACTGACATCTGGAATGAAAATATGACATGTAAAGGGTTTTGCATGAGTTTCCATTTGAGATATGATTTATGAAAATGTAATGGCAGTGAGCCAAATTCTGTAAACGGTAATCATGTTTTAGCACTTTCCACAAATACTGTAAAACAGTAGTACTATTTCAGCACTTTTTTAAGAAAAAAAAAACTCTAAACAGTTATCGATATTCTAGCACTTTTCACTCTAACTGTAAATGGGTATCAATATTCAAGCAATTTTCACATATATTGTAAACAGTTATTATATTCTAGCACTTTTCCACATGAAAGATATTGCACTAAAGGATTATCGCACAAATTGCAGTTTCTGTATGTCATTAGTAAATCAATTAATGTGAATATTTTCAAGATATCCAAGATGAAAATGACAATCAGGATTAAAACAAAAATCAGGGGTGGGCTTATCAGAGAAAAAAAGAATAAATATGAATGGCTTTATTAAAAGACAAAGGGATAGATATGCTTTGGCATATTAAAAGGCAATAGAAAAGCTATGTCAAGGTTTATTACATGACAAAGGAATATATATGGATATATTACAAGACAATGGAATAAATATGTTAGAGCTTATTCCATCAAAACAAAAAATATATATGTATGGGTGTATTACAGGATAATGGAATAGATATGTATGGGTGTATTACATGACAAAGGAATAGACATACATGGGCAAATTACAGGACAATGGAATAGATATGTATGGGTTTATTACCATGGAAGCAATTATTACTAAAAATATACAGTAAGTTCCATATGGTTCTGAAAGATCAGTTTTTTATAACACACATTTGATTTTCTTCTGTCCATACCATTACTAATTATTATAGCAGGATGTCTACAGTATGCTATTTTCCACATTAAGAATACTTCAGAACAAAATGTACCTACCCTGAAGGACAGGACTTGCCAGTATCATCGTAGTTTCTGTTGCAGCCCAATAGACTGAAATCTTTTCCATAGGGCTCTACCTTGATCCTACAGTGTGCACATGTATCAACTCTCATCACACATGGGTTCCATGCTGGGACAGTGTTTGGCCCCACCTCCAAAACCGCCCCTTGTCCCTCCTCCTTAATGCTCTTGTAGGTCGAGCCGACACAGATGTCTGATAAATCAATCACATTATGGTAAGACAAATTTTTTCTAAACAGAAGGAAGGTTTTTTGAGGAAAATATCTACATAGCCAGCCGAAAATGATCTGTTACTAGATGGCAGTATGATAAATATTCCATTACATCTCATGATGACAATCATAAGCGCACATGTAATAATTTCTTGATATTTGGCCTTATTTATGTAACCTACCTTTGATCTCCAGGTTACTTTGAGTACTGACTATGGCCTGATGTAGGATACAGAATCCCAATACTGAAAGTAACCAATAACATATATTATACATATAATTTTCTCTTTAATCAGAATCTAAAAACTAACAACATCTGTATCTAACAAAATTCCACAAAACCAACTTTGAGATAAGTCTATTAAAATCCAGATGAAGTTATTTTTTGTAATGTATAGTTGAACACCTAACTGATCTGCCCACAAACTTAAGGTCTTAGCCCTAAGGCTTGTTAATATCTTACATGTGACAAACTGTAAGGAAAGAGGAACTTCCCCCTAACCCTAAGGTTTGTTTATATATTAGATGTGACATAAGGTTTGTTTATATATTAGATGTGACATAAGGTTTGTTTATATATTAGATGTGACATAAGGTTTGTTTATACATTAGATGTGACATAAGGTTTGTTTATATATTAGATGTGACATAAGGTTTGTTTATATATTAGATGTGACAAATTGTAAGGAAAGAGTAACTTCCCCCAAACCATAAGGTTTTTTTATATATTAGATGTGACATAAGGTTTGTTTATATATTAGATGTGACAAATTGTAAGGAAAGAGTAACTTCCCCCAAACCATAAGGTTTGTTTATATATTAGATGTGACATAAGGTTTGTTTATATATTAGATGTGACATAAGGTTTGTTTATACATTAGATGTGACATAAGGTTTGTTTATATATTAGATGTGACATAAGGTTTGTTTATACATTAGATGTGACATAAGGTTTGTTTATATATTAGATGTGACATAAGGTTTGTTTTTATATTAGATGTGACAAATTGTAAGGAAAGAGTAACTTCCCCCAAACCATAAGGTTTGTTTATATATTAGATGTGACATAAGGTTTGTTTATATATTAGATGTGACATAAGGTTTGTTTATACATTAGATGTGACATAAGGTTTGTTTATACATTAGATGTGACATAAGGTTTGTTTATACATTAGATGTGACATAGGGTTTGTTTATATATCAGATGTGACAAACTGTAAGGAAAGAGTAGCTTCCCCTAACCATAAGGTTTGTTTATATATTAGATGTGACATAAGGTTTGTTTATATATTAGATGTGACATAAGGTTTGTTTATATATCAGATGTGACAAATTGTAAGGAAAGAGTAACTTCCCCTTAGCCCTAAGGTTTGTTTATATATTAGATGTGACATAAGGTTTGTTTATATATTAGATGTGACATAAGGTTTGTTTATATATTAGATGTGACATAAGGTTTGTTTATACATTAGATGTGACATAAGGTTTGTTTATATATTAGATGTGACATAAGGTTTGTTTTTATATTATATGTTACTAATTGTATGGAAAGAGTAACTTCACCCTATCCATAAGGTTTGTTTATATATTAGATGTGACATAAGGTTTGTTTATATATTAGATGTGACATAAGGTTTGTTTATACATTAGATGTGACATAAGGTTTGTTTATACATTAGATGTGACATAAGGTTTGTTTATACATTAGATGTGACATAAGGTTTGTTTATACATTAGATGTGACATAAGGTTTGTTTATATATTAGATGTGACATAAGGTTTGTTTATATATTAGATGTGACATAAGGTTTGTTTATATATTAGATGTGACATAAGGTTTGTTTATATATTAGATGTGACATAAGGTTTGTTTATATATCAGATGTGACAAACTGTAAGGAAAGGGTAACTTCCCCTTAGCCCTAAGGTTTGTTTATATATTAGATGTGACAAACTGTAAGGAAAGGGTAACTTCCCCTTAGCCCTAAGGTTTGTTTATATATTAGATGTGACAAATTGTAAGGAAAGAGTAACTTCCCCTTTGCCCTAAGGTTTGTTTTTTATATTAGATGTGACATAGGTTTGTTTATATATTAGATGTGACATAAGGTTTGTTTATATATTAGATGTGACATAAGGTTTGTTTATATATTAGATGTGACATAAGGTTTGTTTATATATCAGATGTGACAAATTGTAAGGAAAGAGTAACTTCCCCTTAGCCCTAAGGTTTGTTTATATATTAGATGTGACATAAGGTTTGTTTATATATTAGATGTGACAAACTGTAAGGAAAGGGTAACTTCCCCTTAGCCCTAAGGTTTGTTTATATATTAGATGTGACAAACTGTAAGGAAAGAGTAACTTCTCCCTAACCATAAGGTTTGTTTATATATTAGATGTGACAAACTGTAAGGAAAGGGTAACTTCCCCTTAGCCCTAAGGTTTGTTTATATATTAGATGTGACAAATTGTAAGGAAAGAGTAACTTCCCCTTAGCCCTAAGGTTTGTTTATATATTAGATGTGACATAAGGTTTGTTTATATATTAGATGTAACATAAGGTTTGTTTATATATTAGATGTGACGTAAGGTTTGTTTATATATTAGATGTGACATAGGGTTTGTTTATATATCAGATGTGACAAACTGTAAGGAAAGAGTAGCTTCCCCTAACCATAAGGTTTGTTTATATATTAGATGTGACATAAGGTTTGTTTATATATTAGATGTGACATAAGGTTTGTTTATATATCAGATGTGACAAATTGTAAGGAAAGAGTAACTTCCCCTTAGCCCTAAGGTTTGTTTATATATTAGATGTGACATAAGGTTTGTTTATATATTAGATGTGACATAAGGTTTGTTTATATATTAGATGTGACAAACTGTAAGGAAAGAGTAACTTCCCCCTAACCATAAGGTTTGTTTATATATTAGATGTGACATAAGGTTTGTTTATATATTAGATGTGACAAATTGTAAGGAAAGAGTAACTTCCCCTTAGCCCTAAGGTTTGTTTATATATTAGATGTGACATAAGGTTTGTTTATATATTAGATGTGACATAAGGTTTGTTTATATATTAGATGTGACATAAGGTTTGTTTATATATCAGATGTGACAAACTGTAAGGAAAGAGTAACTTCCCCTTAGCCCTAAGGTTTGTTTATATATTAGATGTGACAAATTGTAAGGAAAGAGTAACTTCCCCTTAGCCCTAAGTTTGTTTATATATTAGATGTGACAAATTGTAAGGAAAGAGTAACTTCCCCTAACCATAAGGTTTGTTTATACATTAGATGTGACATAAGGTTTGTTTATATATTAGATGTGACATAAGGTTTGTTTATATATTAGATGTGACATAAGGTTTGTTTATATATTAGATGTGACATAAGGTTTGTTTATATATCAGATGTGACAAACTGTAAGGAAAGGGTAACTTCCCCTTAGCCCTAAGGTTTGTTTATATATTAGATGTGACAAATTGTAAGGAAAGAGTAACTTCCCCTAACCATAAGGTTTGTTTATACATTAGATGTGACATAAGGTTTGTTTATATATTAGATGTGACATAAGGTTTGTTTATATATCAGATGTGACAAACTGTAAGGAAAGAGGAACTTCCCCCAACCCTAAGGTTTTTTGTATACTAGATGCTAAGGTTTGTTTATATACTAGATGCTGACAAAATGCTACCTGTATAAGAATTAGTTTCAAGTTATGTTTATATACTTTACAGTATACAGCATAAACTGTTGAAATAAGAGTGAATTTTCACCGACACGTCTAAAAAATTCATTCTCTCAGTCTGTGTGACCCAGCACCACAGTCATTAGACCTGTATAGAAACTGAGCATATATACTTGTAAGTATATAGTGACATGCATATACAGTATACTTACCAAAGGATGCTAGTTGGAGGTGAGGGCCCATACTACGTGGTCTGTATATGCACCTGGCCTAACTTGTTATCTGTGATTTTGGCTGCAAGGATTTTGAAATGAATAGGAAATAAATTCCGGTTATAAAAATACAAATAACAAATATCTTATTTCAACAAGAAATATTCAAATCAGATTCAATATTAGTTTTTTTTGGTACAATAAATGTATATCGCATAAATTGTCTCAGGTGTATTACGACTACAGTCTACAATTACTTGGCAGGTTAACCTAGATATATACACCTTACTTCCTTACTTACCTTTCTATCATCTACCTAATACAGAGTTATCATGTAAGTTATAATATTGTATTCACAATTTTCTGGGTCTGGATTTATTTTGAAGAAGCTCTCATATTGTGTGTCATTGATACCAAGCAATATACACACACAATCTGACACTAAATTTATCTTAGGTGCAAGCTTGAATACTGAGAGATAAGCAAGGCCCCGATGGTTGGACTATATATCCTTCTGGTTTAATTATGATCCATTTTGTCCTTGAAGTTTGGACTGATAACATCTTGTTGCATTCTGACCATCTTTGCTTCATAATGTTGTAACAAAATGTTCATTGACATTTGACCCTACTGATTTAGTTAAGTTTATTGTTGCTTTATGTCCTACCAACAGCCAGGATTATTTAAGAATAAGTCAGGTTTGGATGGTGGAGGAAAGCCAGAGTTCCTGGACAATAACCACTACCCGTACCTGGTGACTGTCCAACATAGGCCTCGAACCAACCACCCACAGGTCGAGAGCTAGTGATAAAGACTGTCAGACGCCTTGACCACTCAACCACTGCAACCCCTTCTGACCATGAATTTTTACTTTGTGACCTGGACCTTTTTTGGTCAATTGATTCTGTTTGATTTTGACCAACTTTACTCCATAACATTATTACAAAATATTCATCAAAGAAATGCTACAAAATTTAACCTTGGCCTTTGACCCATGACCTTGAACTTTCTCATCCAGTGACAATGACATTAGGTCAGTCTTTTTTACTTCTGACAATGTTTCTTCATTATGTCATAACAAAATTATTATGGGTGAAAAGATACAAAATTTAACACTGACCTACAAACCCAATTAACTTGACCATTGACCATGCACATTATGTATTTCAGAACTTCAAAATATGACAAAATTTTGCAAGATAATGAATTTCTGAACCGATGACCACCAGGCAGTGATTACTATAGGGTGCCCATTTATACAATGCAGGACCTAATTACATGTAAAGATTTGTCTCTGAAGTTTTTGTTGTATATCATACTTTATCATGTAAAGATGTTGAGAAAGAACATTTAGTTTGGGTAAAAACAATATGGAAAACATTTCATTGTAAATAAGAAATGTAGTTCTTGTGTATATAATGCAAATCCTGTTTATTTATGTGTGAAATAACCTTGCAACAGTGAAAGTAATAAAATTGACAATGTTATCAAATCTCGTGTTTAGATAAGTAGCTGATCTGTAAGCAGTAACAAAGCACACCCAAACACATGGTCTGCTGGCTGACTTAATCTAGGGAACAATTTCCAGACCAAGTCTCAGGTGACATGTCAAAACATCCTGTCTAGTACCCCAATCAAGTCTAGAGTGACATGTGAGGACATCCTCTCTAGTACCCCACATCAAGTCTAGAGTGACATGTGAGGACATCCTGTCTAGTGCCCCACATCAAGTCTAGAGTGACATGTCAGAGCATCTTGTCTAGTGCCACACATCAAGTCTCGGGTGACATGTCAGAACATTCACTCTAGTACACCACATCAAGTTAAGGGTGACATGTCAGAGCATCTTATCTAGTGCCCCACATCAAGTTAAGGGTGACATGTCAAAACATCCTGTCTAGTACACCACATCAAGTTAAGGGTGACATGTCAGAACATCCTGTCTAGTGCCCCACATCAAGTCTGGGTGACATGTGAGGACATCCTGTCTAGTGCCCCACATCAAGTCTAGGGTGACATGTCAGAACATCCTCTCTAGTGCCCCACATCAAGTCTGTGTAGGGTGACATCTGAGGACACTAGTACCCAAGAAAATGTCTCGGGTGACATATGAGGTCATCCTGTCTAGTAACCAGGACAATGTGTAGGGTGACATTTGAGGACACTAGTACCCAAGAAAATTTCTCGGGTGACATATGAGGTCATCCTGTCTAACAACCAGTATGGTAAACGCAATGTCTGTTAGTTGAGGTTGGGATAGCAGAATATCGTGTTTACTAGGAGAGGTCAGGACAAACAACATGTCTGCTGTGAATGGTTAGAGCAAACAAACCCCATGTCTACTGTACTTATGAGTGGTTAGAAAACATTGTCTTGGTGAATATAACAGGTGCACCTCAGATGTGTTCCTTGTTAAACTGTTACCAAGGTACTTTAAAAGTGTAAGTGTGATTTCTATAGGTAGGTTAATCATTATTACAACCAGACTATTTTTCCATGTAACAGCACACATCAGACATTTTGTCGATAAAAGTCTGATCTCAGGTAACCCATACATCTCCAATGTAAACATGGGTATGACTGTTAGCACTAATCCATCCTGTAACAAGCTGGGTAACTGGGGTTTGAATTGTATTGCATGTTCTTCGGTATATCGTATCATGTGGGGCCGGATATGGGCTCAATTCCCTATTGGATTTACATTGTATTTCATGACATGGTCAAAATTCTCAAAAAATATATCGTAGTTTACTCCTAAATATTTCCATCCCAGTTGATCACTTTTTTTCACAAAATAAGAAAAAAAAAATTCTTTTTAAAATTGGTGGAAAAAAACCTGTATACTAAGTTCCCAGACAATTATGTTGATATTCAGACATTTTTATTGTCATATTCATTGCCTAAAATATTAAATAAACCTGTTAAAAACAAAGTTCAGTTTTGCTTTTCTTCTTTTTGAAACAAATATGTTATAATATATTCTGTAGTATGTATATACATTGACATAACATATCAATGTTATCTTCAATGTGTTAAGTAGGTTTAATTAATCAGATCTTATCCTTGGGTATCCTTCTTTTGCTCAGTCTGATCATTAAAACAACGTAAAATACAAAATCGCCTGCCTAATATAATGTACAATATACCCTTCATCTGACTCTTCTTAATCAACAATATTGCATACCCTACTAAGAAAAATTCTTATATTTTTTGAAGGATATATTTTCGTTGAATTCATGGGTTCTGTAAATACAGGAATTGATACACTGATAAAAGTTTAAATGGATACTAGTACCAGTGAATTTTGTGATTGATATTAATCCTCAAAATAATGAGCTAATGAATATGTATACTTTTTGAATACCACAAAAATTTAGCCCCTCAAAAAGGTATGATTTTACCAGTATTTACTCAATAAATTCTTAATCTGCATCTGTGAAAGAATTATTGTTCAACATATAGGTAGGTACATGTTGCCTGAAATTTATGCAAAATTAAAACACAACACAAAAGTAAAAATTTCTTTATGAAATGTTGGAGACAGCTTGTGGTTTCTGTGGTAGCTCTATACATGGTGATGACAGTTGTAGAAAAGAAGGACAGAAACATGTCATTCTCCATCCATTTTACTCAGCTGTTGTGCAGTATTATCTTTGGGTTTCAACTTTAAATCAATAGTACATTCCCAGGTATATGTGAAATTCCTGTTGGTGTTATACCAGCTAATTAGTTTGGATATCATTTTTCAATGACTTATTTTTTTTCTACAACTGTCATCATGTAATAGCATGTATCATATCTGATGAATTTTTAAAAATCTTTCTATTCATTGCAATACTGACTATAACCCCTATTTATCAGCATGAAATTTAAACACATATCAAGACTCACAAATGAACATGTTTCATGTAAACAAACCAAGAAAGAAAATTTCACACAAGGCAATATGTTGTTAGAGCAACTTTAGTTCGAACCCCAATGTGTAAAGCCAGTGCAAGTTTGGTTATATAGCACTAGTTCAGCAATTTCATGACAATCTGACAATGTATGTATGCAATTAGTTTCATGCTCAATGTGACTCGGTGTAAAGGTATCTTAATGAATTAAATTTGTATGTGTATTTGTGAGCTGAAATAGTTTCAGAATTATGGGTGTAAAGTTAAATTGGATTTACATAACAATATTGTCACCAGCATTATGGATGTAAAGTTAAATCGGATTTACTAACAATATTGTCACCAGACACTAAGATATAAACCATAACACAGACACAATACACACAACAGGATGAATTAACAATAGAGAATTAATTAACACATTATGATAGAATGATTTGTTGTATAGAATGTATTATGGATGATTTATATAGTCATAGTAAACTGGGCTTTTTTTGTCCTGAAAGAAAGTATCCAATGAAAGATCACTATTCTTCCTTGATTGTCACAGCTTAAAATACATGTATCTTCAAAATATACAGTAACATGTTTTACAAGTATCATCACACACCTTAGTCATAAAAAGTTTGTAATTTACTACAGTAATCTAATAGTAACAGCTGGTAATACCCCTTCTTCCCCATGAATTAGATAACCAAGTGTCCTTACCTATGTCTTCCTTAATGACCTTGGTATTGTGTCTTCGTAATTAAGTCACAACATCTATGTTCGCAAACTCATTAACCAACTAAAAATTATTGTAATCAGGCTTTAACAGTCATCACATGTTTGTGTAGACATACTGTAATATCCCTTCCTGGTACCATCTAATCCTAAACTTTAGTGCACTCCACCAACTGTAAAAGTTATACAACAGTAGACCAGTTAAAATCAAGTGTTTAATTTATCAGGTTCAAACCACAGCTGAAGAAAATTGTATACACAATCAATAGGAGCTGGGTATGATTTATGACACCGCCAGTGTACTGAATGTAGAGCCAGATCTCTGTCAATGGTTCACCATCGTTAATTCACCTACAGCTGTCTACACAATGGAGCCCACCTGATATATCCCTACACAGGTGTAAAACACTAC